GGCGGGCGGGCGGCAGCGCCGGCACCAGGGCCCGGCGCGCCCTCGGCGACTCTCAGCACCTCCCCGTTACTGGCGCCGGCGCTCCCGGGCCATCTCCCTCCGTCTACACCACGCTCACTCTCAGCCGGGGCAGCGGCGCCAACTACACGGCGGCAGCGGGAACCGGGGGGAGGGGGAGCAAGAAGACGCGTCCGGCTCAGCCCCGCGGTGAGCGACTGCCTCCCCCGCCTTCGTCGCCTCCTGTTCCGCCACCTCCTCTCCTCCTCCCCCCGCCGCCGCCGCCGCCTGGTCCTTCTCCTCCGCCGCCTCCTCCTCCCGCCACCACCACCGCCGCCGCTGGTGCCGCCGCTGCCGCTCCACCAACTACATCCGGGCAACTCAGACGCTGCCGCCTTCGGGAGGCCTCGGCAGTTTCCGCCGCGCCCCTCCTCTCCCACCCTCTGCCTCCCTCCCCGCCCCGTGCGGCTCTAGAACGCCGCCTTCGGCAAACCTCGGCTCGCTCCGGCCTTCCCCTTCCTCGGAGGCCTGGCTCGCCTCCTCGAGACCCGTCAGCCCTTTCCGGTTACCGCTGCTTTTTCTCTCGCGCAAGTCCGGCCACCGCCACTCTACTTTAGGGATTGTCCCGCTCGGGGGCCTGCTCGAGGCTGGTCCCAGGAGCTCCGGGCTGCGCGGGGAGGGAGCCGCCTTCAGGAGGAGGACGGTGAGGCGCGAGGGAAGCCATCGCGGACTAAATAAGGGAGGCTGCGGCGGCTGCGCGTGCGCCCAGAGGCGCGGCGGGAGGGGTGCCCTTCGGCGGGCGCTCGGGCCCGGCCCCCGCCCCTTCGGGCTCGGGCGGGGTGGTCGGAAACCCCCGGGGTGGGCGACGGGCAGACGCTTCCCGGAGAGCGGATCGGGCAGGCAGCCGCGGAGGCCGCGCTCGTGGGGGTGGGGAACGTGGCCCTGCGCCCTCCCGCCCGCTCCTGGAAACCGGAACCGGGCCGGGGCTGCTGCCTCCGTCGGACGCGGCGCGCGCGACCGCGCGGAGCGGGGCAGGGGCTGCTGCGAGCACGCAGGGCGGCATTTTAGACGTAAGTCCCACCCCCGCGTCCCCTCTCCGGGGACGGCGAGGGGGAAGGATCTAGGGCGCTGTACTGAGTGCGGGAAGCGGTGCGCCGAGCCGCTCCAGTGGCGAGATTCCTGGATTGAGTCCTGGAACCCAACTAGCTCCTGAGCCTAGGGATTTAGCGGGATGGTCTCCTTGGGATAATTGTTGAACCGCCCCACCCCTCCCCTCCTTTTTAGCATTTTTTCCCATACCCAGCTGTGCCTTTCCCATCGTCTCCTTTACCTCCCTCTTCTCCCTCCCCATCTATTTCCTCTTCCTCGCTCAAGTTTTTTGGCGAAGGAAAGTTTTATTTGGAGGTTCTGGTTCTGAATAAAGGTCTGGGGTGCCCCCGATGAAATTGCCACAAATTTGATTTTGTGTTCTTCTACAGGCACATTGGAAGGGGAAACGTCAAGGATTCCAGAACGCTTTAACGCAAAGGTCGTGGTATTCCGCTGTTTTTGTTTTTCTTCCTGCTCTGAACTCTTTGTAAGGCTACATTAGTTTAATGAGAAGGACCGCAGTAGACGTAAATGTACATTTGTGGGTAAAATAAAAATCAGAAGAAACGAGACCACCCCTCCCCAATAAAAGATACCAAAAAGTAACAGTTATTCAGCAAGTAACATTGTTGCTGAATGTAGATGTAAAATGACTAGGAAGGGGAGGACTGAAATCACAGCCGATTGAAAAAAAAATACAAATTATATAGCCTTATTCATCACGTCCACCTGCCAAATGTAAAGATTATTGTTTTTTCTGAAGACCAATAAAAGTCAACTGAAACTGTAAACAAAAAAAAAAAAAAACTGCCAGTAGATGAAATAACGCGCGCACACACACAAAAGAAATCAGTCTTATGTATAGTGTTTAGCACTTGTACCAAATATGTTGCAAGACAGGTGAGAAAAATACAAAAAATATATGCAGAAGCTTTTTGTTAACTGGCAGCAGCAAAATTACTAATTTCTTGTTTAACCAGGTATCTGCTGAAATTGATACATACCAATCCATCAAAAGACAAGACCAAGCTGTGGGAGAAATAGTTCCAGGCAATGAACAGTCCGATCCTCATTCTTCAAGGATTCCACATTTTCAAATTCACCTACTCACTAAAATTTATTTATAGCCCTAAAATCAATAGGCTGCACCATTCATGGACAGCTTGCCTGACACACCCACATTTCGAGAAGACATTCACTATGCAACACTCCCTTATTTCAGTTCTCATACTGTTAACCGTTCTTCACAGTGTATTAGTACCATCTGAGCGGTTTGTTGGGTTTTGTTTTGTTTGCATTCTTTGTGCTTTTTATCAGTGGTTTTGCTTTTTGTATTGCCTTCTCCCTCCCCTCCACACACAAGTATTGGTCAAGTGCTGTTTAGTATTCCTAACAGAAGCTTGGGACGTGCATTATGGAGAAAACATGTGTTAAGAGTATTTTATTCAGTCTTGTCATTAGTGCTTTTGGCCGTGTTAAAGTGTCTTTAAACAGAAACACACACAAAATAAGGTTATGTAGTGATAGGATCACTTGACAGAAATGTGACCAGAGGCTCAGAAGAACTTAACCCTGTATTTACCTTAGGTGTAGTGAAGTGTTGGCGGTGACACTGAACATAACTACCACAAATAAAGAGAAGCAACTGTGCTTACTAAAGGACCCATGTAAATACCCATTACAAAAAATATATTCATTGCCTAGCTTAAATAAATCCTCCTTTGCAAATACCCTCATCTCCAATTCTTCTTCACCTCCTTTGTATTAATTGCCTAAATCACAAGCCTGGGTAATTCACCATATACCTTCTGCAAAGCAATTGAACATGGCTGGAGAAAAAGACAATCACCCTAACTCTGGAGTGAGTTCCTTCTGTTACTTACCTCTTCAAGCCATATTTCCCTAATATGTTTACCCTGCCCTCTTAACCAGCCATTTTATATCTTCTAAACATGCTAATACCGTCTCAACTTGTAGGTCCTTATCTTGTTTCTTACCTTTGTAAGAAAATACAGGAAAAAAAAAACGGGTGGCATCTGTGCTCAGTGGGTAGGGCGCTGGCCCCATATACCGAGGGTGGTGGGTTTGAACTCAGCCCTAGCCAAACTGCAACAAAGTATAGCCAGGTGTTGTAGCGGGCGCCTGTAGTCCCAGCTACTCAGGAGGCTGAGGCAAGAGAATTGGCTAAGTCCGAGAGCTGGAGGTTGCTGTGAGCTGTAATGCCACTGAACTCTACCAAAGGCAAAAAAGTGAGACTCTGTCTCAAAAAAAAAAAAAGATAGGAAATCATAAAATGGTAACAATTTCCCACCGTTGCACCTATAAGCCTGTCTGCAGGTAAATACAGTGCAATGTGGTAGTAACTATGGATAAACTGTCAAAGTTCCTAAGACCAAAGTTGCCACTTTTGCATTGAGTTGCATTTTAGTCTTAGAATCGTCTGCTTTTCTTAGGAATTTTTTCCCTCTAAGTGGATCACTTCCATCAACTTATGAATATACTATACTAACTACTGTCTTAAAAAAGATAAAACTTTTTGACCTGTATCTCCCTCTAAATACTACCTCAGTGATCTCTGATCTGCTCTCCTGTACAGAAGAATTTCCTCTCCTCTTGTACTACTCTCTCAAACCCATAGAATCAGACCTTATTCACACACTCCTGAACTTGCTCGAGATCATCAAGTCAGAATTCTCCATGTTCTCACATCTGATTTTCATTTCTCGGTCTTCGCCTCACTCTACTTGTCAGCAGCATTTGACACAGCTGATGAGTCTTTTCTTTTTTTTTTTTTTTTTT